CTTCCTCTCCCCTCCCTTCTCTCTCTCTCCTCGTCTACCTCTCCCTCTCTCCCTCTCTCTCTCTCTCTCTCTCTCTTCTCTCTCTCTCTCTCTCTCTCTCTCTCTCTCTCTCTCTCTCTCTCTCTCTCTCTCTCTTCTCTCTCTCTCTCCTCCTCTCTCCCTTTCTCTCTCTCCTCTCCTCTCCCTCTCTCCCTCTCTCTCTCTCTCTCTCTCTCTCTCTCTCTCTCTCTCTCTCTCTCTCTCTCTCTCTCTCTCTCTCTCTCTCTCTCTCCTCTCTCTCTCTCTCTCTCTCTCCCCCCTTCTCTCTCTCCCTCCCCTCTCTCTTCTCTCCTTCCTCTCTCTCTCTCCTCTCCTCCCCTTCTCTCTCTCTCTCCTCCCCTTCTCTCTCTCTCTCCTCCCCTTCTCTCTCTCTCTCCTCCCCTTCTCTCTCTCTCTCTCTCTCCTCTCTCTCCTCCCTTCTCTCTCTCTCTCCTCCCCCTTCTCTCTCTCTCTCTCCCTTCTCTCTCTCTTCTCCCCCTTCTCTCTCTCTCTCCCCTTCTCTCTCTCTCTCCTCCCCTCTCTCTCTCTCCTCCTCTTCTCTCTCTCTCCTCCCCTTCTCACTCTCTCTCCTCCCCTTCTCACTCTCTCTCCTCCTTCTTCTCTCTCCTCCCCTTCTCACTCTCTCCTCTCCTTCTCACTCTCTCTCCACCCATTCTCTCTCCCTCTCCACCCATTCTCTCTCCCTCTCCTCCCATTCTCTCTCCCCACTCCTCCCATTCTCTCCCTCTCCTCCCATTCTCTCTCCCTCTCCTCCCATTCTCCTCCCTCTCTCCATTCTCTCTCCCTCTCCTCCCATTCTCTCTCCCTCTCCTCCCATTCACTCTCTCTCTCCTCCCCCTTCTCTCTCTCTCTATTTCCTTTCTTTTTCTCTTCTCTTCTCTTCTTTTCTTTTCTATCCTATCCTCTCCTCTATCTATCTCCTCCTCTCTCTCTATCTCCCTCTCCCTCTCTCTCCATCTCCTTCTCCCTCTCCCCTCTCTCTCTCCTCCTCCCCTCTCTTCTCTCCTCTCTCTCTCCTTCTCTCCTCTCTCTCTCTCCCTCCTCCCTTCTCTCCTCCCTCTCCCCTCTTCTCTCTCCCTCTCCCTCTCCCTTCCCCTCTCTCTCTCTCTCCCTCTCCCTCTCGCATCTCTCTATTTTGGGTGAAAAAAAGAATTCTCATAATGTATGGTATGTGTAATCTCCCTGAACACCTGTATTCCCCAATCCCCTTTGTACAAATTCTCTCTCTGAAGCAATTATTAAAGTGCCTCCTAATGTTAATCTCATGTCAAACC